TTACTAGTGCAGAGGTCTTAACCACTCAACCACCGAGCTTGCCGGGGTCGGCTGGCCAGTCCGAGTCAAATGAAGCAGCGGGTACCGCGAACACCTACCTACATGTAGGTACCCATTTACTCACAGATACCAGTTACTTGTTAATGCTCATCTACTACCTAGCAGTTTTACTAAAAAAGATAACCAATACTCATGGGTACCTATTCGCACACTGGTGCCCATTTACTCACAGATACCAGTAACTTGCTAATGCTCATCTACTACCTAGCGGTTTTACTGAAAATGATACCCAATACTCATGAGTACCTATCCGCACACTGGTACCCATTTACTCACAGATACCAGTTACTTGCTAATGCTCATCTACTACGTAGTGGTTTTACAGAAAAGATAACCGCTGTACCTATTTGCACATTGGTACCCATTACTCACAGATGCCAATAGACCTCTTGCAGCTGGTACTTGGTAAAAAATCCTTTAACATGGCAAGGAACCATAGAAAAGAGTGAAGTGCAATACTTCTGTTACAAGTTAAAGCTCACTTTTATACTCGCAGGTCTCTAGACCATTGGACTAAGCAAGGCACTAGCCACTGGTGCTTATTAGACTGAGAGAAATGAATAGGCCTAAGTACGGATGATGTTACACTTACAAGTATGCACACCTTTCCTAAGACGCTTTAAAGCCATTGTTGACTTGGCTCCGTAAGATAGCGCACATGTCAAGAAAGCAAGACGTCATCAACACACGGGCCTAATCAGGATTGCATGCTACATATACCATACACACAAGCTGTTCTGCAGGCTGTGCTGAAAATGGTAGCCATGGATTTGGTTACAATTTATAAGCAAACTATGACCGGCAAAATTACATGTACCTCACCGTGGCTCAAAATTACACAAATCTCTACAGGAAGAGGCAGTAACCACATATACAGACATGCATAATTTCAAGCCGCAGTTACTGAGTAATTCGGACACGGCCAATCCTTCCCAGGAAATCCTGTGACAACTTTAATCATATACAAGTAAAATTCATCAGGTTGTTTTTTCTCATTCAGCCTGTTAATGGAAGGTGCCGCGAGGGCCTACCCTGTTGGATGACACGTCGCTCCTCAAGTTCAGCAACGTCCTGACCCGTTGGTCCATGTGGGTCCTGTGCCTCTCCTCCTCATCTGCCTCCTTCTGTCGAACTCTGACGGGTCAAAGGTTAAACCAAAGTCAGGTCAAGTCAGTACAAATCAGTCAAAGGTTAAACCAAAGTCAGGTCAAGTCAGTACAAATCAGTCAATGGTTGTTGGGCACATCTAGCTGGCCAGAATCAAAGCCAACTAAAGGCCAGGCTCGATGAGCAACCATTTATTACCCACTCGCCACTTCTCCCTGGTAACCTGTGCATAAAATGCAACCTCGGTTCCAGCCAAATTGACAAATGATTGATGGTCACTGATCGAACCTGGTTAAAAGGTTTGGGTGACCTGCTCATTAATGGTATGGTATCTTGTGTACAATACACACGTCCATCTGGAAACCAGGAGTACATGGTTTCATGTTGAGGAGTGCTATAAGTTTAATATTTCCTTCGCTGAACTTGGAATACAGACAAGATCTCTTGATTTTTGATTTGATTTCTATATTTTATATCTGCCTCTGGAAGACACAATGACCAAATGATTAACTGTAATTTATGATGCTGTGCAAAATTTCCACTGCCGTAGATTCTGAGAGCTTCTTAGATAAATGAAAACAAATGTCTTCCCCACTTTCCAGGGTATCATGTACGTCTTAAGACTAGCTGACAGATACAGTCTGAATATTCAACTTTGTTGACACCTACTGTCAGTCAATCAAAGGTTCCACATGTTCCAGCCCACAAGGTTAATATTTTTTATTCTGGGGCTACAGAGTCAACTTTCTGGAAATTGCAGCAATAGGATTGGCTAGAAGCTATGTCCAACCATACATGGAGAGTTATATTGGCACAATGGTACTTCCCTCACCTTCCATCTCGGTTGGCATGTGGATTGAGTTTTCAGTCTAGTCCCTACCTGATTCCCAGAGTTTTAGCAGGAATACCTGTCAAGGGTTTTCTAAAATCTCTTCCTTGGCTTCTTCATTGTCATTAAAATTTACTCTGTAACAGGTGCCTACGCTTTTGGCTGGACACAATATGAAATGAAAATAAAAGATTTTGATTCAATTTGCCTTTTCAGCTTAGGATCTACATGTACGCGAGAAAGACTACCCTGGCTAGCAAGGACAAGGGAGCTGAGCGCTCATCATACTTAGCCACGGTTTCCTTGAGGTACTTGGCTGCGGCTTCTCGTGACCGTCGAGCAGCACTCATTGCTTGACGATGCTTACGGTCCCGCTCACGCAAAGCTGCCATGTGATCTCTGCCGAGGAAGAACAGGCGGCCTCCAAAAAATTAATCTTTGTGTCGCGTCAACATCTCTTCTAAAACACCCCCACCAAAAGAGCCTATTGTCAGTTTTCCCCACATTCTAGGATACGCCCGGTGGAGGGTTTTCAGACGGCAAAGAACACCTTACGACGTAGCCCACAAGCAGCTGTGAAAAATGCAGTTGCGGCTCTAAAGACAAACTAACAAAATTTCTTTTCAGGTTCTGAATGTGAGAAAATTTGCTGAAGAAACAGCGACTTGAACACATGCTGCTGAGGATTTGACATTCAGGTATTTAATGGAACAAATTAAAAAAAAATTTATAGTCATACAATGGAAAAAAGAACGATTTCTCCACATGACAGAACATTCAATCTGTTACCTCATTCAATTAGTTCCACATTTACACTGTACCCACATTTATCATTTTTACACGACTTCATGTAAGGTGAATTTTGTCAATTATCATGTGGTCTGAACTTGTCTGTGTGTTGTCCAGTTTAGGGCAAAGTGTTCACTGACGAAGCAAGCAATGCCATCTCTGGTTATACCCGATGCCACCCTCTTAGACCAAAAAAGCATTTGATTTGGGTTTTGTACGAAGAGACCGTCCAAGTAAAAAAAGGCACGGTACGATAATTACTGGAAGGCTTAGCTTTATTGGAGTGAGCCACCACAAAAGACAAGTCAGTAGCATCACCATGGTAACCAGATTTGTTTGCTTTTCTCAAATGATTTTCAGTGTATATGGCTATGAAAGGAGTGTACACAAATAATTATCCTTAAGACTCAGTTTGTTGGATCACGTCAAAGCACACTGTTACGGCACAGGATGGTGCACATTCCTCGTCCCTACCTTTCCCTGTTTTTGCGTCTGCGGTCGGCCTGCACCACTTTGATGTTCTCCTTCCTGGCTCGCTGCATGGTGTTCTCCATTCTCTCCTGCTCCAGTCGTTCCTCCTGCACCTCCAAATCCTCCTCTGCCAAAATGAACTTGCCTTGTTCCAGCTCCGCTTTGGACAGGTCCAGTCTGAAGGGAGGGAGGGTGAAAACGAAATGAAAGCCAAGGTTTTAGGAATGAATGCCAACTTGAAAGGAAGGGGCACGTGTAACTTGGGGTTTTATCCCCAAGTACCTCGCAAAACCCTGTTACACCTTGTGAAACCTCAGGGTGGACCTCAAGTAAAAGCTGGACCTCAGTAAACCAAAATTTAATTTTGCACTTTTCCCTCGTGAACTGTAGATCATCTTGGTTATATAACTTTTACCTACAGGAAGGGAAAAACACGAAAACCCGTGAACCCTCGTGAAACTTGAGGTAAACCTTGAGTTACCTCTGAATTTGTTTGGCCTCCTTCCTTCGTGTAGATCATCTTCTGTTTCTATTTAAGCCCGTAAAAAGAGACATAGGCTAAACATGAAAGCCATGGCTTTTCAAAGGTGCTACAAATCACATTGCCGCTGTACTCTGAACTGACCTATCCTGTTGAATGGTCTAGCATTTTAATAGGGCTCAATGTGGCTTACTACGTACAAACACACGTTGACATGTAGAGTGCTGCAACTCAGGTGTGACGGGAAGTGGGTTCAAGCCCCGAAAGTGCAAAAACTCCACATGGGTACCCAAAAGGTAATCGAGTTCTGCTGATCACTGAAGAAACATGGCTCAGTGAGCAGGGGTAATAGAAATTGAAATTCTAACTGTGAAGCACTTTGGCGATAAAGTGTTATGCAGTACAAGCAACAGGTAATAAGTCTGTCCAGTCCGTCATTCCTATCTGCTCCTCTGCAAAGCAAAGCATCATATACATGTAGGTACGCTACCTATACATTTCATGTACTGTGCTTTAATCTACCCTCTATGGACTAATATTTTCAGCTCAAAGCATCTTACTCTGCCTGGTCCAGTCGTTCCTGTATCTGCTTCTCTAGGTCTCCCTCTGCCTCCAGTTCCTTCTCCAGCTTGGCTAGCTTGCTTTTCAGTCGGTGGACATTGGCCATGTTGCCTTGTTCCTCACTCTGCTGGAGCTGTTCTGTTGTGTGCTCCTTCTCCAACTCTAGGGCTTCCAGCTTGGTGCGACATTTCTTGAGTTCCTCCCTAGGGACAGCCCCCCCAAAAGAAAAGCGACTCCATCAAAATGAGGAATGAGTTTCAAATGAGTCAGTTTTTACTTGTATCACTTACTCTCATGTTAACATGTAGATGATGTTTTAACTGTCACAACTGAGGCCGTGTCCAAATTACTTGGCTGCGACTTCAAATTACACACAACTCCTTGGGTGGTGTCTGCAGCCACTGTCATAGACTTGCGTGTACTTTCAAGCCGCAGTCCGGGAAGTTCAAACATGGTCTGAGAAATTTTTCTGGCCATTTGCAGCGTCACAAGAAGGTCTTTTTACAGGTGGTGGGGGGGAGGTAAAATGTAAAAATGGGTACTCAATATCCCTGCTGAAAAGTAAAAGGGTTCAACACCATCTTCCAGTGGTACATGGTCAATGCAATATCCGATATTGGGTGCCACTCCAGGACTAGGCACTGTGCAAGAAGTATGCTCATGTTAACAGGGACAAGTTAACGTCCACTTATTGGGGGGGGAAAGGCACTTGTTGCAAATCGCTGGCCAGGAGACAAGGACAATGGAAGAAAAAGGCACCTGTTGCAGAACATCGAGGGAAAAGAAGCATTTACTAGGAAAGAGGATACTGTACATGTGCCAAAACAATGGGGGGGGGATTCCTTGCTCTCCTCCTCATGCTATGGCTTTGTTTCTCTGGGAAAATGCATAACAGTGGCATATCTGGCATTGTCAAAGTGGTAGGGGGATGAGTGGCTTTTTCGAAAGGGTCGTACCCCAGATGAAGGCGAATCTAAACAATTGAGCCAGGCATAATTTTACTGATAACTTTTGTCCTTAAACTTACTAGGTAACTAGGAGGCATCAAAATGAAAAAATGCTATCTTCCCCCAAAACAAAGAGGGAAGCACAAGGCTGTGCAATGTGCCTGCAAGGTGCGTTCCCTCGATTTGTTGCTGATTACCTTACTCCTGCCACCCAAAGAAAGACAGCGTGTTTGTACTCATTCCCACGAAAATATCTTGTGTACACTGTGCAACATATTTGTGCTGTCCAAACAGCTGACTGACCTGGTGGTCTGCACGATGTGCTCGCTCTCCAGTACCTGGCCGGCCAGGTTGTCCAGGTGTCGGCGCAGCGCCAGCATGCGCAACTTCTCGTGCCGACTGAACTTCTGCTTGGCAAAGGACGGCCGGTCGCTGCCTTGCTCGCTCAGACTCTCTTCCGGCCTGGCGGGGGAAAGAAAAGAAAAATTGCATATAAGGACATGTGTGTTCAGCTTGTCCCCTTTCTGTTTGCTGCAACAACAGGAATTCATGACACCAAATACAAACTCCATTACGATGCCTATTAACTTCAGAAACCTTCCTGACTTTACTATTCCTTACTTTTTCTTCACTATTAAGACAAGGAAAGATTTCTTGTATTCTTGAACGTTCAGATGGTATTGTGAGAAGCAGTAACAGCCGAGTTAACACCTGTACCAGTACAATCCTCCATCATGCAAAATCCTCAAGGTCACAAAGGCAAGTTCGGTGGTATGCTGGAGGAATTACTGTAGGGTTTAGCGATGAGTGGCAAACATACCGTAGAAATCAACCGAGCCACTTCCGAGCAATAACTCTGTATAGAATCTTGCACAAGGTAAATCAATAAGCACCCTCAACACACTTCACCTACAAAATATCCATTTTCATTAAGATGCCAAAGTGAGTGACACATCCAAACACAGAGCTCATGCTCTTTGTAATGTTATGCCAACTACCAAAAAAGTAACTGAAAAATGGTCTTTTAAAGACCTGTTCTATGGGATTGGGTCGAGACATGTACATGGTGAAGATCCATTAGTAAAATCATCAATTCCCAAGTTAATATCATTTTAATACGAGGTCATACCCAGTCAATGAGGTATCATCGCTCTGCGACCACATTTCAGGGTCGCTCTCATACTCCAGTGGTCCCTCGCTGGATTCCATCCATTGGCGGGTCTCGGGTCCCCCACCACTGGCTCCACCCCCAAAGGAGGATTGCAGATCATCACCATCAGGGCTAGGGCTGTCGTCCAGAAGGTAGGTGTCTCCGTCCTGGTGCGGGACAGTAAGCCCTCCTGACATGGTCCTGGTTGCTTTCCAGGTTTTTGTTTTGCCTTTAATCTTTTGTGTGGCCAGTTCTTTTGTTTTACCAGTTCCAAAGCCCTAAGGGAGATAAGTGAAAGAGAAAAATGCACAGAATACAGGCGTTTCACAAGAGTGCACCTCCAAGAGTTTGCAACACATTGGCCAATCACAGTGCATGAAATCTGTTTAAACAGGGATGAGGTCTTGTGTTGTTTTCACCGTGGGACCGTCCTGGCTGCTGTTGTGACCTTGAAACACACATCAGGTGAGACGCGGGACATGTGCGATGTCATCCCCGCCACTGAAAATGGTCGAGCCAAGATGTGGAGCAAGTGCGGTCATTGGTGGGCTCATCGAATGCGCAGTCTGATAAACGCAAACAGCATGAACAGAGTTTTTTCCAAAAATACTCCGTCTCATGCTCTGAAACTACTATTATCCCCTTATTACCAGCTATAGATCAAGCAGATTTGCTGACAGGGGATAATTTGGTTTAATAGGCCTAGCTTTTTTGGGGCAGCAAACCATTTCACCACAAAAATTCGAGTCCAAAACCCCATAGCGTTATGACGCCATGTAAAATCTTCTTGCCTCGAAAGGCACACGGAATATCATGGAGTTAGTGACTGTGAGTTCTCGAAGTAGTGCCCCACCTGAGCACATGTACTATGGTAGCAGTAGGCCCTAGCATAACTAGAAATGCAGTGGCTGTTGTTACGGCAGCCGTAATGCATCTCCCATTTTCTATTGTTATGGCACTCCGACTGCGCAAGCGCGCCAACTTAAGTGCAGATTTCGGACTTTATTTCCCTTTTAAAAAAATCCTCCAAAGCCTCCTATGAGGAAAGAAAAAAGATTCCTGCTTAGGCCTATATAATTAGAAACTAACATAAAAAAACAATTATGGTATGAAACATGAAATTTAAGCGAAAAAAAATAAAATAGGCCCTAGGCCTAGTCCAACTGCGGATTCGAACTCACACACCAGTGGTTCCAAACCTTTCACCTTGACCACTCAGCAGAGTTATAATGGCTCAAGTCAATGACTCGACTGGAGTTGCATTTCTGGGTGACTCGACTCGAGTCTCTGCTGTAAAATGACTCGATTCGAGTCACAAAAATCAGTGACTCGTTACAACTCTGGTACACATGTACATACACCAGCACGTTTGCATGGTTACTTGGTTTGAACACTGTGGCAATTACAACCAGGGGCCAATTTCATTGAGCTGCTTAAACATAAATTTTGCCCAAATGTTAAAAACTGTTACTCAATAAAATAAGGTTGCTTGCCTAAACTCCATCTGATGTATGTTGGTTTTGAATGGTATTTACACATGTACATGTAGTTGTACATTTTGGTTAGCAAGACAAATACAAAGAGCTTGGGCGGGTAACCTTATTTACTGAGCAACGGTTTTTTGCACTTACGCAAGTGTTTTGCTTTGGCGTCTCTATGAAATTGACACCTGGTGAGGCAAATCTCCAGGGCTTTCTCTTGGGATAAGCAACCACTGAAACCTGCAGAGTGATTTTATTGAGTGCAGTTTTTTCACATTTAGCAAATGTTGTGCTATGCTCCCCATTAATAAATTCAAAACAGCGAACACATTTCCGTCTCTTGATGTTTATTTATTATGAGTCCAAATGTTTGTGACTCGAATTGAATCGGGCAGAATAAATTACTTGACTCGACTTCTCGGTGTGATGACTCGACTCGAGTCTCTGCTGTAAAATGACTCAACTCGACTCGAGTCACAAAAAATCAGTGACTCATTACAACTCTGCCACTCCGCCACAAGCGTTCAGCGATCCAGGTAATTTTAAAATATATAAACCGTTGTGATGATCAGCTACATCATCACACTTGCACAGTTCAATGCCGTAACAATAGAAAATGAGAAGTGCGTTACGACTGCCGTAACGATAGCCACTTTGAACTACAAAATACTCAGAATTTTTCAAACAAGTTCCAAAGGGTTTTTACACAGGGTATCAAGAGGCGTCCATATGTGGATCTCTTTCCAAATGTTCTCCCAATAGGGAGAACACTTCAAGTGAGACAATTCATCTGGTTTCTTTTTCTCCTGATCGGAGAATTCTTCCACTCGAATATGCCTATTCACATTGCTCTTTGTTACTTACAAGGCTTACGACGTGCTTCAGGAAGAACTAACATAACTAATCTGACTAAGGTGAGATGTTTGGCAATTGTCATCCGGGATGGCATTGGCAATTGCCACGAACGTCGCCATCTTTGTCTTAGCACACAGTCTTGCATAGCAACAAGTTGATTGTGTGCATTATTCGCAAAAGCACACCGGCTCTCATTTGTCCACAGAGGGCGCTATACATGTTCAGTCTGCACCGTACCGGCTAACTGTGCAGGATGCACAGAATATAGTGTAAAATCAACAAAGTTTGGAGCACCGTGGCAGGCAACTGAAGTCCCTGAGGCCTCTCAAACAAAAAAAAATGTGTTGTTTGGTCATTCAGATTTCATTTGATATTTAATTTTCAGTAGGTTAATGAATGAATATTTTAATTATCCGCCCAAAACAAACTCACCTCCCAAAAAGTGAACGTTCCCGAGTCTTCGCATTTTTTTTTCAAAAGACATCCAATCCCTCACCTTCCACACCTTCCGCGGGCTCTTCTGACAAATTTTCAATCACATATGTCTTCTTTGCCACCATGTAGGTGCCCCTTAATCTACAGAGATAGTCCTGGGCCATACTGACACAATCCCACAATTTCTTGGCCCAAACAGACTCCTCTTTTGGAAGAATCTGTCATGGGTACTTTGTATGTGCCTCCGACTGGCGGGGAATTTTCCTTGAATTGGGACACTGCACCCCACAGGGAGCATTCAACCAAATGGTTGTATTTCTGCCCGCGGGTTTATCAATATTCTGTGTTACCACGGGGTTTTTACAATAAGACAGGCCATAATCAGGAGGGATCTTAGACTTATTTCTGCAAATCCCGAATTTGGGACTGATAGTTTCCATTTTGGTTTTTTTTTTTTTTTACAAAAAGCCCCAAATTGCGGGCCTATTTTGGATAGAGGCGGGAGGCTACATTCGGAAATGAGCGCTTAGTGATATTGCTTTTTTGGGGGTACCTTCGGAGAAAGGTGGATAAAAAAAAATTCGTGGCTAACCCCCATAAAATTAAAACGAAAAGTGATCTTCTGGCCATAATCTTGAATTTCCAGTAAAAAAACTATGGAATTCCATATCTGCCGTCGTGCGTCGTCCGTCGTGCGTCGTGTTTTTTTTTTTTTTTGGTCACTTTAACCTAACACTTTAACTGAACTTTGACCCTTGATCGTTACACATGTACATGTACTTGTTTGATCGATCCATCATGCCTGACTCTCATTTTAGGAGCAGAACTAGAAGATGTATTCGTTTTTGCAGTTGCACCGAACTACACTTGAAAGAAGAAATTATATCCTGACATCGGTAAAGTGACGTGTATATGAAAAAATACCATTTTTTAAGTAAATTAATTAAAAATAGACGTTTGTTAGGGTAGATTGTTTTTCTCAATAACTTAGTAACTCTAGACGTAACTTTACTCGTTAACGGCCTGACGTTAGGTCTGTAGCCTATGTAATATTTCTGTCTGTCCCTGTACGATATCCTACAGAACGGTAAACAATAAATTATTTACAATGTTTGATTCCTTAATGATTGCAAAGCATGCAAAACCTAAACAATTATTTGTTACATATTTTGCAAAAATGACACAAGCCGTTAAGGCACTCTGAATCTCTCAACTATATTTTATGTAAAAATCATACGAAACTTTTCTTGTCAATTCCTAAAGCTATTTATTACTTAACACATTGACCCACCTCCAGTATTTTGCCTCAGGATTTAAGGGAAAACGATTAAACAGAGAATTTGTAAAATTCTCTTCACGCGAGCCAAGATCTTTTTATAAGTAACCCTGACATTTTATTTTTTAACCAAAGCACCACAGTTTGTGTGAATTTTCCCTCAGAGTTTTGATGCTTTGCAATGCTGGCTCTCCGCATCATTGAATCAGGAGCAGTTCTCCAGCTGTTACCGTATTTATATTTGGTTTATATTCCCTAATGTTGTTTAAAAGTCGCTGATGTAATTTTATACGATTATGAAACAACTCTGACATTTGGTCTGCTTCCTTCACTAATGTCATTTAAAAGTCACCGATGTCCTTTGAAACGATTACGAAACAACTCCGATATTATTAGTTCTTGCACTATTTAATTTACCTACACAAGTATGATTTTAAATTAAACTGAAGACATAATAACTGATAATGGTCAGTCCAAGTCAAACATTAAGATAGAGGTCTTACTTATCTGTTTAAAAAGACTTATGTGAGCCTACCTGCAACTCAAGTAATGTCTAATTTGGAGTATACAGCAGATTTCATCATAGGTATACTCGCCTCAAAGTAATGTTGAATCAGTTTGTCGCTTATGAAAACTATTAACTAGAAACATGACAAACTTGTTACAGTTCATTGCATTTAGCTTTTACCTGTGTAGACTTTAAACGTTTATCTGGACTGGTTTACTTAATTAATCAGCATTTACAAATAAGAAATGCAAAGCTCAAAATGTCATGAACCAAACGGGTAAAAAGCTTTTTTTTTATCTGAACCAGTCTGCCTGAAACCAAATTATCGAATCGCACAAACGTGAAGGATTAAATTGTAACGCGGCCTCCTCATTCTTCACCTTAGTTGGTTCCCGCCTGCTACGTA